TCTAGGGCCAATTGCTGTTTGTGATTTGTGATGGGTCTTCTTGCCCTTTCTTTCTGGTTTCCTGGGCGTATAGTAATATGGGCTATAAGCTCAGAGGCCTTTTGCCCCTGTAGATCTTTTTTTTCTGTTGGGCCTTTTTGTAATAATTAGAAGGGTGTTTTGGAAGCCGGTACATCAAATTAGATATAATTGTAAAAAAATATATCGAATAAAATATTTTAGAAAAAAGTATACAGCTGATATACAAAAACGTAAATGTCTATTTTGTAAAATTTTCTTCCCTAAAAACTTTAACAAGACATTTATTAAGCGCTAAAATTTATGGTCATTTAACTCAAAATATCTTATTTTTAATGCACTTTGATTCATGAATATTTTTTTTTTGAAAAATAGTTTTATTTTCAAATTATATTTATGCATTAAATATTTACTACTACTAGTTTTATAGAAAAATTTTAATATTTCGTTTATTTTAAAATATATCACTTGTTCAAAATTTGTTAATATCCGAACTTCATAATAGTGTAACAAAAATAGTATAACAAATACACTGTAACAAAGACAGTGTAACAATACACTGCAATAAAAATAGTGTTCAGTAGTTTTATGTATGTAATAACAAATTCAAAACGGAGATGCACTATTTTGAATGAAATTATATGAAAATATATATTTGACAAAATGTAATAATACAATATTTTGTGTAAATGACTTGTTACAGTGTTATTGTTACACTGTTCGGATATTAATATAATTTGAAAACAAAACCTATTTCCAAAAAAAAAAAAAATACACATGAATCAAGATGCATTAAATATAATTGGAAAACAAAACCACTTTTCAAAAAAAAAATATGCATGAATCAAGGGAGGACATACAAATATGAAATATTAAAGTTCTCTCATAAAATTAGGAGATGTTTAATACACCACTTTTCAAAAAAAATATATATGGATTAATAGAGGACAAAAATGTCACGAAAAAATTAATAAAATTCAAATAATGTATTTAGATACAAATAAGTATCAAAATTAAGAACTTAATTACTCAATATTTTTTTCTGTGTATTTTTTTACAATTAACTCTTATTTAGTGTACCCTCTTATAATTTCTCCTAATTAGAATATATTCGCTATTTTCTAGGTTGATCCACCATCTGGCCTTTTAATGATAATGGGTTTTCTTCTCCCGGAATTGGCTTTCATCCATGGGGCGTAGTTCATATCCTCCTTATCACCAAGATTATTATTTGTATCTTTTTCATCGAGTTGGATCAGTTTAGGGTTAGTTAGCTGTTGTTTTGATAAATTAGTCATAACCTGTGCCTGAAAGTACGATTAAATATAAAATTTGAAAATCCAAAAAATTGATCTTATTATATTAATTTTTTTAAAAATATATTAACTACAATTTAATCAAATATTAAATAATTAAATATATAATAAAAATAAGTGATGTGATATTTTTAGGGAAAAAATACATAAATGATTAAATATATGATAGAAATAAGTGATGCAATTTGACATTTGAGTCTGATAAAAGGATGATAGGTGAGATAAGTAATTAGTGATGGTTTTGAGAGGAAAAATATGACTGAGATAAAATTCAAACACACTCCTGTTTTATTATATAGATTAGGCCTTAATATTGAGTTCCGTGTCTCCCAACAAAAATATTATATATTAGGTATTGGATTAATAGGCTTCTATATCCTAACAACCTCAATTTTAATTCTCAAATTTGAGTTCAACTAGGCATTAATTTTGGTTGAGTTTGAATCAAGGGTCAGGATATTAAGAACTCAATCTACGTACTTATCAAATGTAAATCACATTACAATTTTTTTGCCTTGCTCAATCTAAACATTAGAAATTCTTATCCAACTATTTAAATTTTACGTTGAGTTCCAATTAGCCCACACAACCTACGACCATATTTAAAAAATAAATGATCTCTTTTTAAAATTTTATGGATATCCTATGATATAGGGTATCCTATGGTTCAATCTCTTAAAATAAATAATTCAAAATAAATTTAAGTTGAATCTATTAATAAATGGTAGCGGATTCTATTAAAACAGGTCGAACAACTGATCATTCAAAAAAAAATTTAAAAAATTATATTAAGGACCCAGAAATCTATATTCAATTTTCATTGGGCAAAGAGGAAATGAAATAGAGAATCCTAATGAGCCCATCAGGAGTAGGGTATTGAGCTATACAGCATCCGCACATGGTTGGGCCAATCATATTGGGCTGGATATAGGTCAATTTAATCAAACTTTGATTGGAAATGCGTAAATAAGAAGAAATGGAGTAACCAGCGTTCTATATCCTATGCCTTTTTCATTCTTTCATTTTATAGAAACTAGTGATGCAGACTTCTATAGCCTTTGGCCTTTATAGTGCAGTCAACTTCTTTGGTATTGATGAAAGCTCCTTATTTATAAAACTTGTTCAAACTATCCGGCAATATCCATTTGATTTGGTCTAGTCTGGTCCTTAGTTTTTTTCTAGGTTGAATTGTTAATAAATCAAAAAACTTTATAAAGTGGGTTCGATTTCGACTCGAATGCAATTTTCATCATCTAAAATCAGAAACTTTATAAAGTGGGTTCGATTTTGAGTCGCATGAAATTTCCATCAATTAAAAAAAATTCAAATCTCCTCCATTATTATTTCTCGTTTTAAGAAAATTATTCGACATATTTATAAAGGGTGGGGCTATTCCCACCTCCTAAATCTCTATTTCCACCTCATTTTTATATTCATTCTATTATTAACTAAGCTCACCCTATGTTACATCTATCACTTTTAAAAGAAAAGAATGAAACAAGGGAAAAAAAAAAAAAGAAACAAACCGAAACAAGAAAGAAAAAAAAAACCAAACAAAGATTAAAGGAACAAAACAAAACTACAAAACACAAAACCACAGGACGCAAAACTGGACATAAAGAAAAAAGGTATCAAGCACAAACACAAAATCGAACTAGAAAAAAAATAAGAAGCATAGATGTAAAACATAAACAAGATAAAAAAAAAAAATTATTCTGAAAGCATATATATATACATACATACATATAAATTTTAAATAAAAAATTATTAAACTTGACAGAGATATCAAAATATACCGAACGTAATAAAAATCCATACAGCAAACATGAAATCAAACATAGAATTAAATTGAAAAGTAATATTAACTTGTATCTCACTGAAAAAATTTATATTGAAAAAATATTTGTGTGAGTACATGAGATAAAATAGAGAATGAAACCCTAATTATGACAAAATGTAAGATGAGTTTGCTTATTAAATGAGATATATATAACATGGGGTGAACTTATTACTTACTAATGAGGTGAGTATAGAAAGAAGCACCAACGAACTTTTACTTCAATGATATTTCTTATCTTATGAAGGTTTTATCTTCTTAAATTAAGGGTTCAAATTCCCCTCTTTTCTCTACCTCTTTCCCTTCCCACCCACCCACCCACCCCCACCCAACCAAAAAAAGTAAATTGGGTACAAAATTTTTTTAAAAAAAGTATAGAACGGGTGAATTTAATAGTTTGATAATAAAAAATTAAATAGAGTAAAAATAGAGATTTATGGGATGAAAATAACCCCACCCATTTATAAATCTTATTCTCACTTAAATGGATAATGGCTGAGTCATTTTTAAGAAAGTGAATGGTTTGATATTGTTCAAACTCCAAAGAACATGGATTCATGAACCAAAAGAGATTCTTCCTTCAATTTTACTTTTATTATTTTGTAACAATTTGTTCAGAGACATTATTTTATTATATTATATATTATCATTCACAAAGAAGATTTACCCACTCGCAGCCTAATCCGTTCATTTCCCATTGACTATGTGGGGTTGGAATTAGAAGTGAGCAAGCTTGCTTCAATTTGATCATTTAATCGTTACCACACGCGCATGGAAGCGCGTGATCAGCATCCCTTGTCAACAAACAAATTGCACATAATCTCGCACGATTATCACCCTCATTAATGCATCGGCCCGGTAAATGCTCTAATTGTCTAAACCGCCATGTCTTTGAGAGAAATTACATTTGAGACCCATAGCTTTTTCGGAAACTACCAATTTGAGCAATAATTTACCTGGCAGAAGCAACGCCAAGTATGTGCATACATTAGAAAGAAATACTTGCACATAGATACTTGTCAACAAATAGGTGGGAAAAAATATAATTATTGTGAACATTGGTGTATTTGGAGAGGCCAGCAGCCAACGTTCAATCATATTAACCACTGATCTTATGGTGATATATGTGATTTGTTATTATTTGATCTAAGATTATGTCAAACATTATTTTCGATTACGCGAAATATTACTCTACATAATCTTGCACATATTGCAAAAGCTTTAAATTAGAAGCGGGTTATTTATCTAATTTTTATGCTTAAAAAAATAGTCTAACACGTGATTCTGTAATCATCGAGATGTAAGGAGCCTTATTCCGACTGTGGTGACATTATTTCTTCGACTTGATCCTATAGTTGGGAATAACAACCTCCTTTATTTAGTTTTTTTTTTTTTTTACGGTGAGGGGTGTTCGAGTCAGCTTATGCGTATCTCGACTAATCTTCTCTATGATTCGATCATAAACAGGTCATTCACACTAAAATTAAAATATTCACGAGGATAAATTTCGTATGACTGGATCCTAAGAAATTGTCAAAATTCAATCTATTGAGACCTAATCCAATCCAATATAACCCCTGACAAACCAAAGAACTGGGAAGGGCATTTTGGTTATTGCCACATACACAAAACATGTGATAACTTAATGCTATGCATTGCGTCGTGGTTTAATGCTTAAGCCTAGAAGAATCACAATGCAATGGATAATCTTCACTTGGCTTGCCTATATAAACAGAGTCAACCAACCCCTCTCAGCCATCTCTCTCTTTTCCCGCACATTCACTGTACCTTTTTCTTATCACTTTGATCACCTTTTGCCTACCAAAAAGGATGTCTCAGAGGGCGAATCGACACCAGAGGAGGCCATCACAAAGCGTGTTTGTGTTCCCTGACAACCTCTCAGCTCCTTTCTCTGACAATGATGGAGGAGATAAGGTTGCTCCGCCAAGTCAGGTTCAGCTGCCACCTAAAGAAAACGGTGTGGTGCCAATACCGCCACCAGCAAAGTCCTCGGAGTCGGAGGAAGTGGCCAAAGATATTGATAATGAGAGAGAATTGGTTGCAGCCACCGAGAAATAAAATGCCTTTTGCTCTTACTGTAATTTGTTGGCTAGTTGTTTCTGTATGTTGTTGTAAGAGCATGAATGGATGTCTCAAGAACTGAGATTTTCGTCATCGTAATCAAATTTATAAAAGGGTTCATATTTTTCTCTCTCTAGGGTAAGATTTATTTCCCGGGATTTTATCGGATAGAATTGTACATGTCAATACGGGTGAGTTTACAAAATGTCAAGATGGATCATAAAATATCTAGATCTATTAATGTGATTTTATGCTATGCCTTAATCAATTGAGAACATGATACTTTCAAACAATCTCACTTGGTCCATATTGATGGTTTTGTGTATAAAATTAAGCAAGGGTTAATTGTACTGTAAGTCTCCAAAATATAGAGTTTGTTTAATTTTGGTCTTTAATGTTTTAATTGCATCATTTTTGTCCTTGAAGTATTAAATATGTTTCTATATCATCCCTCAAGCAGATAGTGTCTAAATTGTTGATGATTTTTTATCATAAACTTGTTACGTGATACTTAAATATGGATAAAAAATAATTTGAATAATTATTGACCAAATTTTTACACAAATTTTGGTTAAATAACTGCCTAAATTACACAGTTTTGATCATAAACTATCCAAATTTTGGTCAAAAAGTACTCATATTACACATTTTTTTTTATCAATAGCTATCCAAATTTTGTTTAAGAGTTATCAAAATTATTTTTTGTCCATATTTAGGTATTACGTGACAAGTTTATGATAAAAAATCGTTAGCAATCTGGACATTGTCTGCTTGAAGGACCATATAGAAAAATATTCAATACATTTGGGACTAAAATGATACAATTAAAATATTATGGACCAAAATGAGACAAATCTCATATTTTAGAGACCTTTAGTGCAATTAACCCATTAAACAATTAAATGTGTGAAAATATATTTAAAATATCAAGCTATTAGATTCATGCATTTGGCTTTGAGAGGTTGAAACAGACCGATGGAATTGAGTGCAGAAATTATTTATCACACCAGTAAGGTTCTTCTTATTATTTTTTTGACCAAAATTTTCTTATCAACTTACTTGTGTGCAATTACAATCCTTGTATTGTTGTCAGACCTATTGACACTCACTAATCTAATAGTCTATACGAGTTGATAATGATAACTTTTTCAAATGTACCATTATTATTTTTCACATACATTGGGATGAGCAAACTATCTCTATTTTGAATATTTACATATGACAACACTCGATAATTTTACTTACCCCATAAAATAAAAAAATGCAATTCCCCCCCCCCCCCCCCCCCCCCCTTTCCCTTTTTTAATGAAAATTTGCCAAAATGGTTTTGAACTTGGCCTTCAACACCAACTTTATACATATGATTTACACCAACTTTATACAATAATTTAGATTTACACATAGGACATTCTCATCCTCTATCTATTAGGCAAGTAACATGATAGGGTACACATATCTAAATTTGATATATTTAGATACTTTTTCAGATCTATTGTTGATACTAAGTAGCAGTTAAAAATTTGTATCCATTTTTTATGATATTATGCACGGGTTAAATACATTATCTTCTTTTGTGCGAGGAAATGATTCATCGAAATAATGAGTCATCATTGATATTGACACATCTGAGATCTCCAAATATTCAAAAGTTCCTCTGTGTATTTATTATAGTTATCAATAAACAATTTCCCTTACTTGATAAAAAAAAAAATCACTTATAGCACTCTAGATTTTAGCACATAAAAATCTAGATATTTGAATGCGTGCGCATATCATATACAATTTTTTAAAAACTAGACAAATATTATTTATCTTATATCAACATTAGCATTTTGAGGTTGTTTTGTTCAAATCGTAATTTCTTTATGTTTTTAATTTTTGAAAAAAAATTAATAATTAATTCAAATTTTATACTATATATACCCATTAAGTCTTATAAAATTTTTTGGTAGTATGAATAAGTCGTACTTTTTAAAAAATAATTTAAAGAAGTACACAATCTATTACATTTCTTATTCTACACCTTATAACTAGAAAAGAAATATTATTTTAAGCTCCAAAACATGTGATAATTTACTAAAAAATAAATTATCAATAACATTTTTAGTAAGTTATAATATTTTTGCATTTCATTGTATTCATAATTTAAAATTATTGATTACTAGTAATTGTTCGTGCCTGAAGGTACAAAGTAAAAAATAAAAAAATAAATTGTTGTCAATTAAAAGACATACCAAATAAAAGAGCGCTAAAGACATTGAGGAATATATTTGAAGGCAATTTTTGGTTATACCTATCAACATACTTGCATCTAAGACTTCAAAATTAAGAATAAATTTCTATTATACATTACAATTTCATATTATCAATTAATCAAAAAAACTCTGAAACCAAACTATGTAATTCCATACAAATGACACGATCAATCAATGATATGACCAGTCAAACAGAATCTCCAAACGATCGGCCAATGGTTGGCCAGAGCTTCTTTTTCTTCTCTCTGATATTTCCTCGATGATCTAGAAATCATCTCATGAAATACAACAAGAACATAATACATACACAAACATGTCAAATCAAGCAAAACAGAGACAATCATAAGTTAAGAACAAACCAATCAACAACTATTCAACAAACAAATATTGAGCATCTTCATTAGCACCAACAAAGATATTTTCAAACTTGCAAAGAGCAAAACACACACACACACACATAGGTACATATACTTGTAACTTTGAGGCCAAGAGCTGTTATAGGAATTGGGTTTGCTCTGCTGTTAAATTTCATGATTATCGTTTGAATAAATTGAATCGTCTGAATTATTGCCATCATCTTCACCATGGTCGGAAGCCTTTTCCTCATCATCATCTTCACTACTCTTAATGTAGAACCTCTCATCCGATATTGAATTGTTCATTTTCTCCAATCTATTTCCGCAAAAACACCCTCTTAAAATTCCTTAAACTTCAATCACAGTTTCATCTTTGTCAACAACTATGACAAATAAATTTTAATTGCAAAGAAAATCTTGTACAATATAAATTTAGCTTTAATAATAATCAAATGAGATCAAAAGATTAAAAAAAAACCCTCTAGGTCATTGCTAACTCCATTAGTTCATATTGCAAATCCCTTTAACATTGGTAATAGTGTTAGATGCCGACTATTTAAAAAATTAATAGAGATTAAATTTGATACTAAAGAGGAGCCTAAGGGGCCATGGCTCCCCAGCCTCTACCGAACCCCCACAGAGTCTCCTGTACTCCAAAATCAGATCTCACCATACAACCACCCAGCTGCAATACATTCATCCAACTTTTTGGTATCATACCAAAAACTTTTGCTTGTAAAAGGCTGCATTTGGCTGCAGAAGGTAGCAGCAATGGCCAAGTGTAAAAGCAAAGGAAAGGCAACTAGAGTCACCAATTGTTTTTAAAATTGTACATACTAATTGATGACAAAATTACTATAGTAGTGAAAAAAATTTATAACAGTCGTGGGTAAAATTACCATAGTAGGGGTAAAAATTATAACATTGGTGGAATATTTACGACGACAATAGGTAAAATAACTATAGTAATGGACAAAATTATTACTTCAATTGAAAATTTACAATATTAATAGGAAATTTATAACAATGATGGAACAAATTATATCAATAGTGATATATTTGCCTACTACTGGGCAAATTTACCACAGTAGTAGGCAAAATTATAACACCAGTGAAAAATTTAGGACATTAGTAGGCAAAATTATCATAGTAGTGGAGAAAATTACAACATCAGTGAAAAATTTACTACATTAACAGGAAATTTACAACAATAATGAAAAAATTTACTACAGTAGTGAACAAATTTATCACAATAGTGAGCAAAATTACAACATCAGTGAAAAATTTATAACAGTAGTGAAAAAAATTATTAAAGTAGTGGGCAAACTTTAACCACTATAGTGATAAAAGTATGATTGACACTTTGACCAAATTTATCGTAAAAGTATGACTTGGCAACTTTTGTGCTAAATATACCCTCAATTGTGATAAATTGCCCACTATTATGGTACATCTTACCACAATAGTGGTAAAACTATCTTTAACGATACTAAATGTAACAAATGTTGTGATAAAAGTATTGATTGACATCTTTAATCATATTTGATATAAATACGTCACTAGTGCATCCTATAAACGTCGTATATTTAAATTATTGTTTGTAAAATTACCCATAATTGTTGTAAGATTAACCAAATTGATGGTAAAATTGTCCCATATATTAGTAATGTTATTTGACGAGCCCAGATTTAACTGGGTCAGACCCAATTAATTAAGTGAGCCCAAATTAGTTACATGGCAAATCAAGCCCCAGCTCATGGATAGGCCCAGTCCAAAGTTCAAGGAGTTCAGGAAGATTAGTGCACGTGGGGAGTAAACACCAAGATAACCATTACTCGAAGATCAAGACTATCTTTACTTGTACCTATCCTAGTTATACTTATCCTCCCCGAAAGACTAGTTACCTGTCCATCACGCCACCGCCTCAACCAAGCCTTTGGTCTATAAATTGTAAGCCCTCTCCACATGAGAGGGGCATCTCTCTACATACCTGTACATCTCACACTGATAGGGGGCGGATTTGGTATGGGGCCAACTGCCCCCACTAAAATTTTAAAAAATTTTAGGACCTAGGTGTAATTTTAAAATTTTCAAGAATTTCTTAAACTTGCCCCCACTAAAATTTTCTTAAAGTATAGGGTATATTAATATAATTTTCAAACCTTGAAAGCTAACTTTTGGCGGCAACAGCTCCTCAGTTTTTACGCCTGATTTTTTTTTTCTTGTAAGTCATCTTCATCAGTCCAACTTCCAGAGTTCCAGTCCATCCCCTCTTCTTTCTTTTCTTTAGTTTCTTTGTTAGTTTCTTTGGTGTATTCATCAACAAATCAGCCTATTAGATTTAATCATTGTGTAAATCAAACTTTGAAGAAACCTTAGAATATTA